AGCATACAGAGTGGTCGATACGCTGATGGTGAGTCAAGGTTTCCCTTTCCTTTGGTGATTAAGTCGAGCTGCGGCCTTTTCCAAATTTATGGGAATATTCCGTTCTTGAGGCAGGCATTGTACATATTTAGAAGCACTTGAGGGCGTTCTGTGGCGATTATTTTTAGAACTTCTGCTGGAATGCCGTCTGGGCCTGGTGCTTTCTTGGCCTTTATTAGTGGCGGACTTGAGCTCTTCTGCGGTAAATGGTGGTATTTCTTGAGGAGCGATGATAGGCTCCATTTCTTGGGTTAATGCCTCATGCGTGGGAAAGAGTTCGCTTCCTATATAGTCAATTTTTTGAGCGCTAAGCTCTGGTGGTTTTGCCATGGCCCCAAGTTTTTTCATTGCCACCTTGTATCCGAGACCCCAGGGATTTCTGTTTATATCCTCACACAGTTCTTTCCACTTTCTGTTCTTGCTGGCCTCTATTGCTCGTTTGAGTTCTTTTCTAGCAGCTTGGTATAGTTGTGCTTCTTCAACTGCAGCGCTTCTACGCCTGGCCCTGGTGTAAGTACGCCTCAGGTGGAAGCACGTTCGTCTTAGTTGAGCTATGTTTTCCGTCCACCAATATGCAGGTGTTTTGTGTCGATTGCTTCCAGTTGTCGGCATCGCTTTGGTACAGGCTCTGGAGATCATTTTCATTGTAGTCTCTACTATTTCCATTGCGTTATTGTAAGAGGATTCTTCTGAGCCATGCGCATCTATTTCAGATAGTGCTTCACTATTTAATTTCGAGACATTCCATTTGCGAGTGCTACATTGCATCTTCTTTCGTAAACCATCGTTTTTGGAGTCTATTATAAAAGAGATGTATTGGTGATCGCTACCAGTGTAATCTTCCAATACTTTCCATTCCTTTATGGTGCCTGCTATGCCTTCTGATGCTAGTGTGATGTCTGGCGTGGTTTCCTCGCATCCTGTTCTTCGGAAGGTTGTTGCTGCGCCAGTATTGAGCACTATAAATTCGAGTCGAGCTGACATTTGTAGCACGCGTATGCCTCTGGAGTCCGTGTTTGGCATCCCCCACTCCGTGGCTCTTGAGTTTAGGTCTCCTGCCATCAGAAATGGTCCTTCCAAGTTCATGGCCGTATCTTCGATATCGTCGAGTTTATCTTGGAAGTCTTGTATGCTATCGCTTGGTGTCAGATAGCAGCTTATTATTTTTATATGCTTGTATCTGGCCCAGGCGAAGCCGTTTCCGTGTCCTTTTTCAGAGATGTGCATGCTGCTTTGGGGGGGTACCCATATAGCAGCGGTGCCCCTGCTGTCTTCTATCCAGATCCCGTTTTCTTTTTTCTTATACTCTTCGCTTATGATTATCTGTGTCAGTAGCGCGTCAGCCGTTTTACTTCTGTGCATGTTGGCTTGCAGGACATTCATTTCTTGGACCAGTTTCTATATACTGAGCATCTTATGGAGCTTGGGATGTGATCCAGCTCAGTGTATTTGGAATCAACGAGGATGTGCCCAACCAATGCCCGGCATGTGGAGAGTCGCCACATGACTCCCGGCACCTCTTCACATGCCCTGAGAATCCCACTCAGCTAACGCCCCTGTCCCTATGGACAGCCCCTTTTGGAAGTAGCAAGCTTCCTGGGCCTCCCCCTAGCTGAAATAGACGACAACGTTGATGGATGAACCGCCCCGAATGGGGCTTAGTAGCCCCTACAACAACAACAGCAGTGTATTTGGCTTCCGAGCACAAGCAGCATTTTGTTGGCTTATTACACTCTTTTAGCTTATGACCTGGTTGACCGCATTTTATACAGAGGCCTTGCCCTCTTCTGTTTGGGCCTTTGCAGCCCCCGATTAGATGGCCAGGGCCAAAACATCGAAAGCATCTCTTGCAGTTTTCTTTGAGTCGCACTCTACAGTTTATACAGCCGATTTTGATCCTTGCTTGCTTTATTATTATATCAGCTTTTTCTTCATCGAGCGTCACGAAGGCCCTCACCTGTTCTCTACTGTTGGGAGCGGAGTGTTACAGTTTAACTGCAGGGATTAGTGGATCAGTGGTATAAATAATTATAATTATACATGTAACTTATTAATCAATTTTAGTAAATCACTGTCCTTTCAAAATGCCACCTTAGTAAAACACATCGGACATAATTGATATAAGCCAGTGACGGACCCCATTCGTCCCACAACAGTCTGGTTTTCGTAACCGGAACAGCCCAGATATCTGTCTGTTACAACTACAACAACGAGGTGCAACCATCCCAACACTTCCTCTTAGGCTATCTGCACACTTGTCGTCCAATCATAGTTGCGTTATCGTCTCGCCCTGAAATTTTGAGCCGGGCACATGCATTTCAAAGGAGATCTGCACACTTGTTATCGGCTAGTTATCGGCATATCGTAGAAGATGCAGAAACGGATAAGTACGGCACTGTCGTTTGCTAATCGTTGTGCACGCATTGTTTGTTTACTTTTTATGGGGAAAAATTAGTGAAAAAGTTAATATTTGCATTAAAATTGTATAAAAATTAGTATTTTTTGCATAAAATCTGTGGAAAATATTAAAAAGTGGATAATTGCATTAAAAATCAATAAATGTGAGCGTTTTAACTATAAAATATGACGAAATTGTAAAAAGTCTCTGTGTGCATGCACAAAACACATTTCAGGAAAAGAAAAGAAGAGATATTACTGAAAAATGATGTCTAGAATTGTTGCAGCACAGTCTATATTTTAAAAATTTGCGGGTTTTTGTAAATGTTTCGCGAAAATATCAACCAGAAAAAGAGAAAATACCTGCTCCAAGTGAATTTTTAACGCCAAATGAATTGAAATATCACGACCGAGTGTGCGAAAGTGTAGTCGTCATGTAATCGCTGCATGATGATTGTGACGATGAAGTAACTATGATTGGACGACCAATGTGCAGAAAGCCTTAGACTTTCTAGTTTTTTGGTAGATTGAGGCACCAGGGATCGCATTTTCTGACTAGCCCGAATGAGCTCTCCTGGACTAACATCTACTAGGCTAGGGCTTCCATAATCCTGAATCCATCGACCAGGACATTTATTCCCCATAAATCCAGTTTCTTTGGTTCTGGCGTTGCATTATTTTGAGGAATTTTCTGATAATATAAGCAAAGCAGTTTTGTGGCATTATCCGTAGAGCTGAATAATTGATGATGATGAAAAAGTTCTGAATTTTTTTCGAAATAAAAGACCAAATTTCTCTTGACGGTGACGTAACTAATGATGATAAATGTTTGGCGCTTTTAGCGTGGTATTGAATGCTTGCTTAACCAGCAGTAGCAAATTTCCACATATACTACAATCTGCTTCATGATAATTTTTGCCATTTTGTATATGCATAAGCTAAGGATAATTTAGGTAGGCTGTTTGAAGTGAAGCCATTCTAAAAGACTGAAAAACAGGACTGAAAAAAGTGCTTCCCTACATGCTTCCCTGCATGCTTTTTAGAAAGGGGTTCCCCATTTACAATTTACGCGAATGTACTTAAGTATATGTTGACATTATTTAGCATTACAAATAGGATTCAATAAGCATTTCAAGTCTCAATCAATAATATTTGATCTGAACCTTAAATATTTAATGAGAAGCGAAAACAGAAGCCCTTCAATTTGTGCCACTCAGTACAAAAGAGGAAGCAGAAATGAATGGCTTTCAGAAAGCCCTTTTGGAAGAGATTTTAACTCCTAAAATTATCTACTGCACCCTGCAGGAGGTTGCACGTTTTTGGCATTTGCCTCATGGGCGTAGCCAGAACGAAATTCAGAGAGGGGGCGGTTGGTTGCGGCCTATTACAAAAAAAAAAATGTTAAAACCAATAACTTACTTATTAAAAAAATGTTTATTTTTAATATATCTCGTTGAGCTTTGTACCACGATTGTTTATTAGGAAAAATTGAAAAAGCAACAAAGTCTAAGCGGTAGAAGCTATTTCGGAGATCACCACATCTCCTCATCGGACTTCTTTTTTCTAGATTTCTGCTACCACCAGCGGTGTGGTATGTATTTCTGTGTAAGCTACCGATTACAATTGGTTTCAACCGGTTACTTTGACCCAAATACTGTTTTCATTTCTAGAGTACTTTTTGGGGATAATCCGCACGCCTAAAGACGAGAATTCCTCTGTGAAAATCACTTGGCTTCACAATGAAAAAAATGTACAGAAGTCGAAATGTCGGCAAAACGCAGTAGAAGGTAGAATATGTGTATAGTCCCCACCTTTTCCTGGAAGCTCAACCTAACACAAAGTGTTTCTCGACTTATGTAAGTGCTACATAACGAATCCATTTCTTGTTAAAGTTGCCCTTCTAAGTTATCACAATCAAAAGCGGGTAGCTATGTATTTCCCTCAGCATTGCCCTTGTTATCAGAATGTATGTGTTGCTAGGTATCTGATTTCATACAGTAGATGGAACTTATGACGGCCGTTCTTACCTTGAAGAGGATGTGACAGTGAAACACTTTTCGCTTTGGCTAGCAGCAAGTATGATGTTTCCGTAGCCATGTGTCGAAAGACTTAACATCTCAGATCTTTTACCTCCAGAGTCAGCTTAAACAACAGTATTCTTTCGAAATTTCAACCAGATCGATCACATATAGGGTGAATTCCAAAAATACAAAGCATCAGTCTCTTTTATTTCTAAACCTCAGCAGATTGTAATGCCAAATGTGCGCAACCACGGTTAGATGCTAATTTTCAACTATGTTGCGCAAGTTAGACTTTTTTTCTAGTCCGCTTTAGAAATAAAAGAGACTGATGCTTTGTATTTTGACGTTTTGGAATGCACCCATATATACTAAACGACATAAATCATTATCTCAACCGAATATGTACTTCTGTTGTTTATTTTTTCTTAAAAAAATACGTACTTTTCTACAATTACTATATTTCGATCATCTTTAAAAATGAGAGGATAGAGAAATATACTAGTTAAAGTATTATGTATTATTAAAGCGGTTGTGGTACAAAAACTTAAACATATGTATATAAACTAACAACAACAAAAATATAAGTGACATGAGATTTTGCTGAACCACTCCCCTTGTGTTCTCTTTTAGGAGAAGCAGTACGTCGAATTTCGGTGCAGAAATCCCCGAAAAATGTTCCAAACACTCGGATTAAAAAACAAAATTATAAAAAATATAAAGAAGTTGTATAGAACTAGAAACATTTATGGTACATTTATGGAAATCCAAATACACTTAAGTTCAGAACTATAAGCGCGTTCAAATCTACCAGTTCGGGCTCTCTTGCGAACTGATTCTTTATTCAACAGCATGGCTGCCGCTACACGAAATAATCCTAATGAAGAAAATGGAGAGAGCGGGGGGAGTGGTACCAGGGCCAACACCAGCAGTAACAATAACAACAACAATAACAGCAGTTGTAACAACAACAACAATGACGACAGTACAAGCCGTAATCAACCAGTGATGGACGAAATGGAGATGAAATTGAAGCGTCAAACGCTGGAACAACGCAAACAGGATCTGGAGCGGGTACTTAGCGAAAAGAATTGGCTGCTGCAACAAATACAAAAACAAGAGACGCAAATATTTAATGGCAACTATGAGTACTTGAATGTAAATGATATCTTTGCAATGTTGGCACGACAATATAAGAAAGAATTCGGTGGCATTGGAGCCGGCGATGTTGGTAGCACCGCTGTTCTACGGCGGAAAACAATAAGCGGAACCTGTAAGGATAATCCGGCAAACCACAACAATACAAGCAATAACAACAATCGCCAATCAGAAATTTCAAATCGTTCATCGGAATATGACAATTATCCTGCTGGGGATTCGAGTATTAGTGACACCAATACAGCCAGTCTTAATGTTGGCGCTGCGCAACAACAGCTTACCAAGAGTCAGTCAATGAAGAAACGTAGCACCACAACGCCTACTACGACATCTGTGGGCAACTACAATTACTTGCAAGCACAGCAGAGACAGCAACAGTTGCTGCAGCAGCAGATGTTGCAAAATCATATGCAATATTCGGCTTTGATCCAACATCAGCACTACCATCATCAACAACATCAGATGCTTCAATATCATCAGGGGCATGAGGAGCAACAGCAACCGCAGCAACAACAGTACAAGCAGCAAATCTCCCCTTCACAGTCGCAATCGCGACACTATCCAGCTGACACTATTTCATTGTACTCCGTTAATTCAGCGAGTGTTGCCACTTTGCGTCAGCAACACATTGCACCACAGCAACAGGCGATTGTAGTGCAATGCGACCGCTACTATCTATCGCCCACGCATCAGAGCTACAATGATGGTGGTTTCATTAAGTCCAGTCAAAATATTAAAAAATATGTTTCGCCTCAGGCATCGCCAACGCATCACGGGGTCATACAACATTCACAGCATCCTTACCAACAAGATTTGCAAGTGACAACAGCAGCTGCGGCCGAACAAAAGTATCAGCACCACCAGCAACAACCGCAACAACAACAAAAATGTATACCACTCCAGCAGCTGCAATCTCACATCTTACTACATCAGCCGCAGCATGCTTCTAGTAGACAGCTAGATGCCATCTCGCTAGCTCCTTCGTACATCTCTGTCGATGTGGAAAGTGCAGCAACACATAATCCGCGCTGGCGGTCCCAAAGCAATCTGCCACCCATTTCACCACATACACCACCACACAGAGGATTGGCATACAATCAAAGTCAAATCGCTGCAGACACGAAGTCGCATTCAAGTGATATGTTGTCAAGTAATGCATATTATAACACATCGGCAGCGTTGCCGGCAGCATCAATTAAGTCACTGACGAAGCCTCTCGACGAAATATCCATTTCTTCGTTGAATAGCGAAACGCAAAAAACCAAACCACCGAAACCCAAACAGTGGATGGAGTCGTCTCTAGATGGTCCGGTAATGCGGCAAGCACCAGCAGCCGGCGGTAATTCTGCACATTTGCAGGACATATTCCATAACACAACCAGTTCACCACGCATGCCAACAAATAAATCACAAACGGGCGCGGCCACTCTGTCTGGGGGTGGTGGGGGCAGTGGCCCAAGTGTCCCACGTGAACGTGGAAAGCTCTCGTCACAGTCCATGTCATGCGCACCACGCCATTACTCCATGTCCGCAGCTTCGCACAAAAACCCATATTCCCAAACAAAAATGCTACAGGATGACGATGGACGCTACGCCAAACTAAGTCAGTCTACATCCTATCTCAATAGTAGGGAGTCACCTTCAATATCGGCTGCATATCCATTGGACGGAAGCACGAACAGTACCACCATTGAACTACCAACACCGACAACAATATTCAAGTACTTGCCGCCGAAACCCAGTACCGCAGTAAATGCTGCTCGCCAGCTAACTCCACCACCTCCTCCACGGCCACCACCTATTGCCGAGAAAGCCATGGGAGTAGGTGGTGGTGTTATAGTTACCAATGCTGGTGTAGTATCCAGCGCTTTGTCTCCGACGGATATACGTATTGAATCGCCAAAAAATATCACAGTGGTAAAACCAGCTACTTTCCGGCCGTATCAGGAGGAGACCAAACCTTTTGAAATGTCAGATTTTTATAAATATTCTACTAAGTTTCGACAAAAAGAGCCATCAGCTCCGAATTTAGAGCATTAGAATTAGTGAATGTGCTGAATTACGCAAAGTAGACAAGCATCACATTTTAAATGACTTCACATTTTATAAAATTTGTAGCAATGTGGTCAGTTAGGAAATATTAATACATATTAGATCAATGACTTTATAGACTTGAAACAGTTTTATGGAATTATTAGTGTACTATTACTTTTTATATATGTATGCATGCATATACATACATACGTTGTTAAAATTTGCGTAGTTTATAGATCGGTAACTTATGTAAGAACACTAGGGATAGTGAGAACCATGATCACTACAATTCATGTATATAGGAGTGCTGGAAAACAAGAAAACCCATTATGAAACTAAGAAATTAGAGAAGCCTTAATATATCGTCGCTTGGCGTGCAATACCTCGCAATCGCCAAACGCAATACCACGTATGAGGTGACTGAGAAAAAAAAATATTTTCGGTACCCTGTCTCAGCGCTTGCCTACTTCACAAATTTAATTGTCAATCATTTTAGTGGAAGCCCATATTTAATAAGTTCAGTTAAAAAACCATTCAAAAGTTGAGAAGAAAATAAGTTTATTTGCACTTTTGCGAAATTTTCGGACCATCGTATGCGTGGTATTGCATTTGGTGTTCACGAGGTATTGCGCGCCAAGCGACGATATGTATGTATAGGAAGCTTTACTTGATACCAGATAAGGTAATGCAACTACACCCATCGAAACTAATTTTATAAAAAAGACTTGTTAAATTTTGATATACATAGATAAACTTTTCAAATTTTTGCACAGAAAATGCCTAATTATGTAGAGCACTAGAATTGCCAATACGTTTTATAGGATTTTGAATTATTCCATAGTTTTTATTAAAATATTTTTTAATTTAGACGAAGAAAACATCTATGATTGCCTTTGATATTAAAATCGTTAAAGTTATTTATGAAAATTGTAACTTCCTTGCAACATGGACGTGCTGATCATTGCCAAATTGATATACGTTTTTAGGATAACACACATATTTTTGTACTAAAAAACTGTTAAAACCTTACAAAATGAATTATATATATAAATACATATTTTAAATATATATATATATATATGTATACACCTAATATAAATCTTAGGTATGAATTAAATTGTATTACGAATATTGACAAACGAAAAATCTTATCTTCTTCTTACATAGTATAAAGGAAAGTCGTGATTCTTTGTACCCGGTAATCTCGAAAACTACTGAACGGATTTTGACGAGATTTTCTCTAATATACTCTGTATCGACAGGAGAGGGATCTTTTTTTACTTAGAATTTTAATAGGGTTGCCACCTGTCTAAAAAACTATAAGATCCGTACCGTTCGTTGGATTACAAAAGATGAGATGTCAAAAGGGATTGGCCTCTAGAAAAGCACTATTTAATATTTTTTTTTGTTTTTAGTAGGGCTGNAAAGATGAGATGTCAAAAGGGATTGGCCTCTAGAAAAGCACTATTTAATATTTTTTTTTGTTTTTAGTAGGGCTGCCACCTGTTAATAAAATTACCATGTTCAATCATAATAAGCGTAGGCATCAGTTCTGTACCGTCACTGTCAAACGAAAAGACTTAGCCTCTGGATGTGTAATAATGTATTATTCTTCTGAGTACCACCTCTTTAAAAACTAAGATCTTCACCATTCGTTGAATATAAAAAAATAAGATACCAATTGAAAGTGCATGGCCTTCGCATGCACAAAAACTTTAAGGTTTTTGAGTAGGGTTGCCCCCTATTTATAATTACTATCTTCTATACATAGTATAAAGGAAAAGCGAAATATATTAACCTCGCTACTGAGCTGATTTAGAGAAGATTTTTTATTTATATAATAAACGAAGTACATGATGACATATGATTTCTTTCTCCAAATACATAAATGCACATACATATGCATACATCCTTGGCCGGCTAGTATTAAATAAATTACTTGAGAATACGAATTGGAAGCGCCTTTAGTTGTTTAAAATTTCGTCATCTCGATCCATTGCCCTAAAATTTAATCTGCGCTTTGCGAAACCTGTTACAGCCGGAATCGAAAGGGAGCAGAACTTAGGATAGACAAGTATACTATAAGCCGTCTCTTAGATTAAAGTATATTTAGTAGCTATAAACCATAGTTTTCTTAGATAGAGTTTTCATTGCATGTTTAAACTTTGTTTCTTATAAAAAACTTAAATAAAAGTAAAGGAAAATTACCAAAAATCTCGTAAAAAATCGTTGAAACATACGTAAAAAACGATATAAAAACAAATTTTATGTGACTTTCGCAGATCGAATGATTACATTTGTTTTAACCATCTATGAAGAGGAGCAAAAAATAACTTGTTGGTAATTAAAAACTATGTAAAATAATGTAAACTGATAGGATTTCTAATGGACATCTTTTCGAAAGCAAAAAACTACAATCTCAATAATCTGATAGTATTGACTGCATATGGTCGGCCGCTGTGGTGTAGTGGTAAGCAGTGCGCGCTATCACTCAACGGCACCTGGGTTCAAACCCTGGTGAGAAAAGGTTTTTTCTTAACAGCTGTCGTCCCTCGACAGGCAATGGCAAACCTCCGAGTGTATTTCTGCTATGAAAAACAGCTCATAAAAATACAATCGCCGTTCGAAGTCGGCGTAAAACTGTAGGTC